GTCTATGATTCTGTCAGAACTGCTAAATTCAGTCAACTTTGAGAGTTTCCTTCCATCCGTCATTGTGTTTCAATGATAAAGTCGAGGAGAGAGGCTCCTCAGTGGTTGAACTGCTTCGGTTTGTGATGTTTGTCTCCCGCAGGCCGTACATCATCGTGAAGAAAGCCGTGCCGATGGTGAAGAACAAACACATTGAGGATCTGTCTCAGGGCTACAGGTGAGGCTGGGAGTCAACACTTGTTGAGAACATGAGCTAAAGAAGTTGGCTTTCAATTAGGGTTTTATAAAAGTTGTCATTTTGATTTTGTCTTTATGTTTAGATGTTTTATTTATGCCTTTTTCGCCCCCAATATGTATCGATGAACCAACAGAAACCCCACGCAAGAAAACTGTTAATTTATTCAACAGTGTTGTACAAGAAAGACAAAATTACATGAATCTCGTTCTAATTTCTTCTAAGTCTTTTCTTCTTGTAGCACGCTTCTAGAAAAGGGTCTGAGTTCTGGGTAAACTTTTTAGACTTGGTCTTTATAGAATATGTTCCTCACTGGAGGACGTTTGCAGCGTTTTTTATACGAGGACTTTGCTAACAACAGATTTTCTGAAACAAACTCTTCTCGACTCCAGAACCTTTGAGGATTTCCTGCACGAGGGTCTGGTCGAGTATCTGGACGTCAACGAGGAGAACGACTGTCAGATCGCGCTTTATGAATACATGATTAACAAGTAAGTGGTACCAGATTAGGCTGGCGTTTAACAACAAGGAAGAAAAAAAATATTCTCCCGGCTTACGTCGAGCGAACCTCTTGTGTTTTCTTGATTTCTCCAGAGACACGACGCACTTGGAGATCGAGCCTTTCACTCTCCTCGGAGTGTGCGCCGGCCTCATTCCCTACCCCCACCACAACCAGTCGCCCAGGAACACATACCAGTGCGCTATGGGCAAGCAGGCCATGGGTAAGACTCAGCTGGGGCAGGTAGCGTCAGTCGGCGGCCAATAAACCGAAATTGTTTCTCAAGAAGCCTCCTCCGCACGGCTCTTACCTCTGAGCATGCACAAATACAGACACTACAGTAACTCAATCCTACATGAACGCTGTTCTTAAGCCTCCTAAATCTGCTGGTTCAGAGTTTAGACTTTTATTTGCACAAGTTAAAATCATACAAAAGGACATTAGAATAACAAACAGTACAGATACAAGCAGCCTGCTGGTTGGTCGCTCCCAAAACTCTGCTCCTGCGCTACTTCTTGTCAGAATGCATTTGTATGTGTGATTGAGTGTTTGTCTTATGTGTGTGTGCGTCAGTGTGTGTGTGTGTGTGTCAGTGTGTGTATGCGCATGGACATCAAACATGGGGCGCTTGCGTAGGTTCTCCATTGTGCAGTGTGTGCGGAGGCCCTTTCCCTGCCAGTCACCCAGAGTGTCATTAGCAATTCATTGTGTCTGCTCTGGCTGTGCTCAGGGGGTCAGTGTGCTCAGCTGCAAAAGACCACAGAGTGTGCACCCGTAGCTCCTTGGTAACCAAAACTTCCCCAAACGGCCCTGCTAACATTCGTAAGAGCCGCGGTCACCCCCACCCCGCCGCTTTACCTCCGTCCATCCCTTCCTCCCCTCCCCCTCCTCCCTCCCCTCCCCTCCAATCTTTACAAAAACACAGACTGGAACTATATTTGGCCCAATATCCTCTGCCTTGTCTGTTTTGTATGGACGGCCCTATACATGTGCAAATCTGGTTGTGTGGCCCGGGCCTATTATCACAGACTCTGCGCTTGTAGCCTGATTGTGAAGTAATAGCATCTGACAAATGTCAAGGCTTCCAGGGAGGCCAGGCTTTATGCCATAACTCGCCTGTTCCTGCACTGCTCCGCTTTGAGACGGTGCTGGCCACACCCGGTCAAACGGGAGGATTTAACACCTTTAATCCTCTAAAAAAAAAAAATTGCTTTATTAACAGTTAGAGAGATTCAATGCACATTGAAACACTACAATACTGAAGATTATATTACAGGAATATGGTAGAATTGTCTCCTTTAGTGAACCGGGAAGTTTTTTTGAAGTATTTCAGGAATTTTATTAACCCTCTGAACACCAGGCAGGTTATGGGTGGATCATTTTTACTCACTGTGGGTTGAAAAAACTGCATTTTTCCACTGGAAGAGATGGTGCCTCTACATACTACAGATATTTTACTACTTACATTTTAATTTGGTTCTATGCTTGTTTCCTGTCTGTTCAGCGTAAACACAGGCTGCAGTTCAACCCAGTTCAGCTGAAAAGTCCCAAGATTTTTGTTACAGGACTTTTGATCGTCACAAATGGCTTCTAAGTTGTGACGGGAAGCTCAGCATCTTTTGCTTTTTGAAGAATTTAGTTACTGCAAGCAGCTCTTTTTTGGGAAGATTTTAAATGAGACATGTAGAATAAAGTTGTTTTGATGAACTATCCCAATATGAAGACTGGATTTGGTTCATTTTCTTGTTGAAACCAGAAATACATAAAGATTGAGGACTGTCAGAAAGTTAAAAATCATTGAATCTTCCTGTTTTTTTTTAAGTTTCTTGCTATGATAAATAGTGCTTATTTGGTGACTTGTGTTTGTTTTTTTTTGTTTTTTTTTTAAATAACGCGTCTGTAGAAGCCAATAATGTAATAACAGCCAATAACGTAATAAATCTGCACTTTTTAAAATGTAATAGGCCGATAACATAATAAGTTATTACGTTATTGGCTTCTACCCACGTTTTTTAAACCCACCAGTGTTTTTGGAAGGGTTCAAAGGGTTAATCCACTCTTCACGTTTCGTCCCTGCAGGAACTATCGGCTACAACCAGAGGAACCGTATCGACACTCTCATGTACCTGCTGGCGTATCCTCAGAGGCCGATGGTCAAGACAAAAACCATCGAGCTGATTGACTTTGAGAAGCTGCCGGCCGGCCAGAACGCCACCGTGGCCGTGATGAGCTACAGCGGCTACGACATTGAGGACGCTCTGGTCCTGAACAAAGCTTCTCTTGACAGAGGTGAGAGCTGCTGGACTGTTGGTGTCTCCGCCTCAGAGGATTTCTGTTTTCTCCTAAACATCAGTAGAGTTTGGTTCAATTTTAGTTTTATGTTGTGTGTCAACAAACCACATCCAGGCAGCAGACAGGAAGTCAAATGACAGCAAATGTGTTTCTCTTCAGGATTTGGCCGCTGCCTTGTCTATAAAAATGCCAAGTGCACACTGCGGCGTTACACCAACCAGACCTTTGATAAGGTGATGGGGCCCATGCTGGATGCCGCCACACGAAAACCCATCTGGAGGCACAACATCCTGGACGCTGACGGCATCTGCTCCCCTGGTAGGTACCGGCAGGACTGGAGGAGACCCAGCATGCTTTGCTGCTCTTTACCAAACTCTATTGCTCCAATTAATGTGACGAACTTTATCATTAATGATCATCATGGTTGACGTTTCACTCAGTGAGCAGTGTTGACCCGTTTCATGGGTATTTGAAATTCTGTGTTTACTTTTTGATGTGATTTATTGAGTTAAAGATTTTCTGACCTACAGGGAAAGAAAGGAAGCTCAACGAGTCCAGTCTAGATTAATGGCAACACAACAGCAGAACAGTATCCAGCTTTGTTTATCATGACTCCGTTTTACGTTGGCAGGCTCACACCGTGACTAAACGAAGGACACCATCATGGTGCAATGAGTCACTTACCAGCACATTTCACATACTTGCACACTCATTTCATCAGCAGGCTCTGAGAGCTTCAAACATGGCGTCCGAAATCTCTTCAGAACAGTTTACTCAAGAGTCAAGTTAGATAAAGGCTCATTTAGCACCAGTCCGTCCACACGACGCCTTGCATTCTCAAGGAGCCGAGCCGAATGGAGTAAATTATCATGTAGAGGATGTTTTATGTCATATGAGGCTGCAGAAATCTAAAATACTGCATTTATAGATAACACACAAGTACCTGTAGCTCCCGATGAAGCAGCCATATGTCTGTTCCTGATCTATGTTTGAGACTGGATCCACATTTCAGAGTGTGACAACAGTTTTTTGGGGATTTGAAAAGATATTAGCGAGACAGACTTAGCAGGAGAGCATTTAATCCTCTGAACCATAAACAGGTTCTGTGCGTTTTTTTTGATCCTGTCACATTTTTCATAAGTAAAGAGAACTTAAGCGTGTCTTTTTTTTGCAGTATAACAACATTATAATGCCTTAAAACATACAAAATTAAAAAACAAAGGTCTGCTTTCTTTGATGTTTACATAACTGAAAAATCCTGGAAATCACATGGACAAAATTTTCCAAGTGTCTTCAGGTGTTGCTTTAAGTTGCAGCTGAGTCGATGGCGGCTTCATGGTGGTGCTGAGGAGTACAGATTTTTTTCTTTTGTACTTAATTTGTTTACAGCGAGGTATTTATTTATGTTTTAAATTAGACACGTGAATCAAAGTGATTTTAATTGAATGAAATTAAAATTTTAAGGTTAAATTGGGTTCAAGTTTTCCAGACGAGTGGCTGATGAGTAGTTTGAGGACTGTTGGGAAGTTAAAAATCCCACAATTCCTGCTATTCCCAGAGTATCCAACAGTTCTGGTGATTTATCAAAGACGACACGCCTTTCAGATTCGTCAGCAGGTTTTGGGGCTCAGACGGTTTAAGTGCTTGTCGGCAGACCTTTCTAACGCTGTCTGATGCTTCCTGTGTGCTTCAGGTGAGAGAGTGGAGAACAAGCAGGTGTTGGTGAACAAATCCATGCCAACTGTCACCCAGACACCACTGGAGGGCAGTACCCAGCCAGGCCAGCCCCAGTACAGAGACGTGCCCATCAGGTGAGCGGACTTCAGCACCACACCCACCCACCCAGCGCTACACCTTCACCTCAGCTTGTGTCACCTCACTGTGGACCTGCTTTTATATGTGCATGTAGGGAAATAACAAAAACAGGGCTCAACTCTTCTCAATAATAAAGCCACGCTTCTGTTTCCTGTTTGCAGCTACAAGGGCTCGACCGACTCGTACATCGAGAAGGTCATGATCTCGTCCAACGCTGAGGACGCTTTCCTCATCAAGATCCTCCTGAGGCAGACCAGGAGGCCCGAAATAGGAGACAAATTCAGCAGTCGACATGGACAGAAAGGTGCTAACCTCTACCAACCAGCAAGTGGAACACAAAGGGTTGCTTGAATGTTCGAGGCCAAATTTGAACCTGTTGCAAGAGAGTGTAAATGACTGGACAAAAAAAAAAAAGAAAATCTCCATGCTGGAGCATTTGTTGAGTCAAGTCCCAGTGGCTGTTGCTCTGTCACTGCCCCCCTGTCCTCATCTTTCAAGAGCTCTTTTCAATTAATTGGCTCTTTGTCCTGTGCCAGACTATGCAAATTTATTACACCCCAGCAGTATTCTGCTGCTACTGGGGAAAAAGTGTTTACAACCTCCATTGTTTTGCAGCACCTCCCCTATAGAGGGCTTGTATGATGTTTTAATCAAAAAGCTAACTGGCGCCATGCATAATTTACTCTCTTCATTAACACGGTGGGCACTGGGCGGTCAGCTCAGGGTGGGACAATGTCTTCTGTCTCAGATAGTGACGAAGAGCGAGGGGTCGCCGTGGGGTTAGCCGGAGGAGATCTGGATGGAAACGCCCAGATGTGCAGCTGACGAACGGCTTCGTTTTCAGGTTGCGCCGAGGTGTTGGCTTAGAGATCAAAGAAAAGCTTGTGAAAAACCTACATTTTTACCTCCAGAGGGTTTGTTTCTAGAGATGATTTAATTTTTTTTTACATGCTTTGATAGAAATGAACCCTAAACCAGCGGATATGTAATTATTTAATTAGAAGTGAGGAGTTTGGCTGCAGTGATAGATCTCCCAGCTACTCATGACTGGTCTCATAAGTCCTGGTCAGCAGAGCAGAATAAGTTAATTATTTACCGGTCACACACACACACACACACACACACACACAGCTGTGGAGGTGGGGGAGGAGGTGGAGGTTGTCAGTAGTCGGGGCCTATTGTGCGAGCCGCCACTGTGGAGCTGTATGAGCCGTGATGGAGGGCTCTGGACCCTTGCTGTTGTCTTGCCTTTCTCTGCTGATTTCATGCCTCTTTTATCATTCACTTTCACACAAAACAAACAACACCAAGGATGTCTGCTGTTGGAACCAGTGTCTCTCTGTGTTTAACTTCTCCACCACTTTCCACCTCTTACCTCCTCCTCTCACTCCGCTTTCACCCCTGCTTTTTTTTTTTTTTTTTTTTTTGTTAATTTTTTTTTTTTTTTTTTTTTTTTCTTTTTTTTTTTTTTTTACCCCGATATTCAACCTTTTTTTTTCTTTCTTTCTGCCTTTCCTCCCTTTTTATTTTCTTCTGGCCCTGCATTACTCGCCTTTTCTCCTTTCTTTTCACCTTCTTCCTGCTGTTGGATGACTTTCCAGCAAAGCGCCGCGCTTGTTCCCGGTCAACATCCTGTTGCAACATCCTGTAAGGCATCAACAGTCTGCTGTGTCGCCGGCCGCTCGGCTAATAGTGAATTTTTCCCACGTGCACTGATTGAATTTCTCCTCTCCAGTTGATCCCCTCCACTTCCTCTGACTTGAACTGAAAGTCATGGGTGTGTAATCCTGGTCTCCCTGTCCAGCTAAGCACCTTTCTCCACTTCCTGCTCTCCTTCTCTTCACTCCTTTTTCTCGCTCTCTCTCCTTTTTTTTTTTTTTCATTTGCAAATGGGCCTACAATCTGTTTACCCTGGCCAGTGAAAAGTGCTTCGGCCCCTCAGCAAACATTTGCACTCGCACTTAAACTCCTGGCTACCCGGGGGCTTGTCCCCCACATCATGTGAGTCAAAAGAGGACCCTGTCTGTCCACATGAGTATGGAAATGTCATCCTCTGCCAGAGGTCCATGCAGAGCCTCTCAGCACAAACACGGGCAACAAAACAGTTTTACTACAAGTTGTGGTGTGTGGGCAGTTTCGCTGGAGGATAAATTTCCAATCCTGAATTTTCCCTTTTTGCTAAAAAAAAAAAAAAAAAAAAAAATGAGATAAGACTGTTGCTGACCTTTTTATTCACCTTAATTTTGTGGTTTTTCTTTTTAGGTTAATTTAGTCTGTGAATTGGGATGAAAATGTTAAATGTTCTCATATCAAAGGGATGTCTTCATATTCTTCGTACTTTGGTGATATAACACCACATACAAAGAGTAGAAACATTTGCCAACATGCTAAATTATTATCTACATTTTCTTCAGTTCATTTTCTTTGGTTAATTACTTGAGTTGAAGAGGAATGTTTGTAAAATGCTAATTATTTTTCATCCTCAGATTATGTAGAAGTGCAGCTGTGGACAAACAAATTATTTCTAGTTTGTAAACTTTCATACTGTGAATTGGCTTTAATTTTTTTTTCTTTTCTTTTCTTTTCTTTTTGCGTCTTTGTTGAAATCAGTCATCTGAAAGGACCACTTTCAGATTTGTTCAGTTGCTTCGCCAACATGTAAATTTATGTTCCTTGATTCCAGCAAGAATGGGAAACCCTCATGCTCAGCCCACCGGCTCAGGTTGTTACTTAAGAGCTGAAAATGAGAAGTGGATCGCATTTGTATAAATTCATTCTTAGTATGCTCTATGGTACTGAACCTGTGGATCAAATTTCATTTCAGGTGTTTGCGGCCTCATCGTTCCGCAGGAGGACATGCCGTTCTGTGACACGGGCATCTGTCCAGATATCATCATGAACCCTCACGGATACCCGTCCAGAATGACGGTACGACCTTATCATAATCATTACACATTAATCTGCAGCTTATTTTTTCTGTATAAAAATGTTTTGTCTTTAAAATGTCAAAGAAGAAAAAGGTGTAAAATGAGAATTCCCCAGAGGATGAGGTGACACACAGATTATGCCTGTTCCAATCTGTATCTGTAAATACAAAATCCACTTTACTGTCACATTTCTGCAGCCAGATCTAATGTCTATCCCAGAATCTTGGTGTTTTCTCTTAACAGTGATCAAACGATTATCAGAATAGTTGCATCTACATTTTTTGCCCATTAATTAATTAATTCATCGACCAATCACTGCCGCTCGACTATTCTGTGTAACTTCCATCTGGGAGGTTAAATTTTCCTTTGTTTCGGTGAAAAGGTGGTAATTTGACGGCTAATCCGGGACCTGTAGTCGGTTGTAATTTGTCATTTTTGGCCGCGGGGTTCAGTCTGAACCACCTCCGCCGCTGTGTTGACTGTCGCTCTTCATAAGTTTGTGTCGGCTCTTCTGAGACAAAACCCTCATTATCCCCGCTCCTCTTCTCTCTGGGTTATCATTGGCTTCCAGAGCACACGTCCATTGACGCCGTTAAGCAGCAATCTCACTGTTCACAAACAGATATTTGTTGCTGCGGAGACGGCTGCCAGCGAAGCCGCCGCCTGTAGCAGTGTGTGGAAGTTTTATCAAACATGCCCAGTACATCTGAACTGTAGGATGGTGCTGAATGTGAATGGCATGAGACTTGGCCTCGTTTCGGGCTGCTTTTTTTTGTCCGCCTTGCACTGTAAAAACCTGAATGATCTTTACTGCTGAAGTTGTCAGTGCCAGTGTGTGTTTGCTGGCCGTGGTTGCCATGGAGAAGACTCAGAAATGTTTGGCTCGGGAGGATGTTTCTGTGGCCGGAGAGTGATATGAGAGTAGGTGTTTCCTTTTATGCGCTGGGGTCAGGGGTCCTCCGGGTGCGACCTCGGCGGAATTGTTGAAATCAGTCATCCTTAGAGCGCCGTCCCAGCCCCGAGGGGTACATGTGTAATCTAATCTCGCCCCGCGGTATCTGCGTGTGATGCTACGAGAGGATGTAAATCACTGGAGGCTTATGAACAGAGCTGCTGTTCTGGTTCTCCATCAGGTGGGGAAGTTGATTGAGCTGCTGGCCGGGAAGGCGGGAGTCCTGGACGGCAGGTTTCACTACGGGACGGCCTTCGGAGGCAGCAAGGTGAAGGACGTGTGCGAGGACCTCATCCGTTATGGATACAACTACCAGGGCAAAGACTACGTCACCTCAGGAATCACTGGGTAATGAAAGGGTCACGTTTTCTCTCAGTGACATCAAACATTTCACATCACTAGTCAACATTTTCCAAATCGTTTGCATGTTTAGGTTTGTTTTTTAACACGTGTTTTCTCTCTTTTCAGTCAGAATATGAGTTGGAATTAAGACAAAATGATCATACCCAACTTACACTTTGGTTTTACTGACATTTTTCATCGTGCAAAAAACTACAAATTCTCATAATCCCATGTTTTTGTCTCTCCAGACTGCACACAAACATGCATTTGCTGTTGTTCTTGATTATTTTTCTTTCTTTCTTTTAAATCGGCCTCCCTCTTTGGGTTTTTGGCTCCAATTTATCAAGCAAAGGTTCTCTGAAGCCTGTCTGATGTCTCAGAGACACCTGAATGCACCGTTATAGATGTTTCTAGCATCAAGCGCGGTAACACAGCTTTGGTTTATAGAAGATTCCTTCAGTCTGTAACCTTTGAGAGTCAGACTGAGGTGGAAATGATTCCGATTGTTGGACCAACAGTCAGAAAAACAGCAAATGTTCACTTTTCTTTCCTCAGAATTTCCCTCATTTCATTTGATAAGTAATAAAATGCGTTAGCCTGATGTGAACCAAGTGTCTGACTGCTGTGTGTTCCTCAGGGAACCTCTGGAGGCTTACATCTACTTTGGACCAGTGTACTATCAGAAACTGAAGCACATGGTTCTGGACAAGATGCACGCCAGAGCCCGAGGCCCCAGAGCCGTTCTCACCAGGTAATCAGGTCATCAGGCATCTCTGTGGATTCTATGCTTCAGCTTGTGATGAATTTAGATCTTTAAGCAGCTGCATCAGTTTTATGTCTGAAGTAAACACAGCTGAATCTCTCAGACCAGGATGATAACTTAGAAGCTACGTCTCTGTGTGTCTTTAACTCGCAGGCAGCCGACGGAGGGTCGCTCCAGAGACGGAGGTCTGCGTCTGGGCGAGATGGAGCGCGACTGTCTGATCGGCTACGGAGCGAGTATGTTACTGCTGGAGCGCCTCATGATCTCCAGCGACGCCTTCGAGGTGGACGTCTGTGGACAGTGCGGGCTGTTGGGATACTCTGGGTGGTAAGTTGATCAACAGGTGGAGGAGTTCCTGCTGTTTTACCTCAAAACCAATGTAAAAGATAAAACTTTATTAATCAAGGTGGAAATTCTTTTGCCAGATGCTCAGTAAAAACAAATGACAGAAATACAGTCCTGAAAAGTAGAAAACAATAAGTGTGATGCTTTACTGAAATAAGATAAGACGAGAATAGAACCATGTGTTTTATTGTTCTGCTTGTTTTTTTTGTTTTTTAATTGTATTTGTATTTGTATTTTTTCTGAGTTCCATTGTATGTTGTATTGCTTTTATTGTAAGGCGACCTTGAGTGCCGTGAAAGGCGCCTTATTAAATAAAATGTATTATTATTATTATTATAAAAAGTAATGCTGGCAGTTGTATGGAGGTATTAGGTAACAGCACACATGAAATGAAATATACATGACCTAGAAAATGAAATGAAAATGACATACTGCTCATTACATGAACACTTCTGTACATGAAAGTGAAATATTGCACCTGAGATGGAAATATGAAATATGTCTCATTAAATGTTGCACATGGAATGAAATGCTGCGTATGACACAGAAACTGATGTTGCACAAACTACAAAGAAGTAATATTACAAGTTAAAACCCACCAGTGGTTTTAAAGGCATGCTGTCAAAAAAGAAGCCAAAATTACACCATTTATCAGCAAGAAAATGTAAAAACAGTCAGGAAGCTTAATAAAATTTTAGTTGGAAATTATAATATTTTAGCAAAATCATTTTATCAAACATGCTCATTTTAAAAACTGTCAAAAAACCAACCGTTTGCTGTGACTAGGTTGTGCAAAATAACAGAAAATTCACCCAGAAAGCCAGCAGTGACTTTGTTAACGATAATGTTAACGATGACGACTAATAAGGGGAAAAAAATCAAAACATTTGTACTAAAATATCTTCTGTATGTAGAGTTACCTGTTTTGTTTTTGCCAGTATTGGTAACATCTGGAGCAGGGTGATACGGCCAAAAATATTTATCATGATATAAAAGAAGAGAAAATTTGCACTAACGATGTAACTGATGACATAATCAACGCTAGACAAAGTACTTCAAAACTGCACAACTTTATTGGTGCAAATAAAAAACAAGACCAGTTTCTTTTCCATTTAGCAAGCAGCTGTTTGCGGTCGCCACTGTGCTTCTCGCTCCACGTGCATTAAACCGGAATGAAAACAACGGCACTGCATGTTTCACTGAGATTTAAATGCGATAGTTCAGTTTCATATCATCCCCTAACATGACACCGGTATCACCGAGCACGGTATGATGTGGCCCCGCCCTGGTAACATCTGGGGGCACTCGGAGAAATGTTGCACATGTCGAGTCCAGTTGTTTTCAGGTTTTGTTAAATAAGCAGTTTTAAAAATTCACCTTTAATATTAGTTCTTGTTTGAATGACATTTCTCTACTTCTAGCCGTGAGTGGTGGGTTCAGTGAGTTAAAAAGACGTTGAATGAAACACCTGAACTTTTGTCAGACACTGAAGTGAGTCTGTGTTCACATGTACTGAAAGAAGAACTAGCTTTAAAGTACTCTTCTAAATCAGCTCCTCCTTGTTTAATACAAACCAATAAACTCTTAACTTTTTTGTTTGTGTTTGTCTTTCAGGTGTCACTACTGCAAGTCGTCGTGCCACGTTTCCTCCCTGCGCATCCCGTACGCCTGCAAGCTGCTGTTCCAGGAGCTGCAGTCCATGAACATCATCCCCCGACTCAAACTGTCGCGCTACAACGAGTGAACAGCTCAGGGACAGAAACTGTGAGTGGAAGGCTTAGAGTCAGAAACAGACTTAAGTTGAAGTGAGCAGAGAGAAGCAGGGTGAAGGCAGGACGTTTTGACTTTTTTGTTACTCACGACGATGTGAAGCTCAGAAGATGTTTGTGATTTATGTTGATACCTTCTCACCATTGTGCTCTTTGTATGTGTACATAATAAACACAAAACGATAATTTCGCAAACAACTGCTGTGTGTCGCACAATTTGATTATTTTTTTTGCCAGAATATTAAAATAGGAACACTCACATCAAAAATAACACGAGAAACAAATAGTAGGAAGCAGAATTTCCTGAAAAGACGATCATGTTTAGTGCCACAAACTGTTAAAATCTTTATAGTTTTGCTGAAAGATTAGAAAACAAGTGTTCAGCATTGTTAGATGTTTCTTTAATCTTAAGTTCGTCGCTGGTTTTTAGACTCAGACGCCTGAATCTGGCTCTCACCGCCTGACCTTTAGTGTTTACGATCGCCGGTTTGATTCCCGCTGATGCTCTTTATTACATGTGCTTCGTCTGTCTAATCATTTCCAAATGCCAAAAAGGTCATCTTTAAAAATAAATAAATAAATAACTGCCGCACGGTAAAGCAGCTGAAACCCTACGCAGTCTGTGGGATTATTTATGGTGCATTCAAGTGTTAAATAAAAAAGCTTTGGTGAAACTCAGAAGAGCAAAGTAGAAGTGCTGATCATTACTTCAACAGGTGTGACAGAAGGAAAGTTGAAACTGCAAAAAACTTGAACTCCCCGAGTATTTATTGATTTGTAAAGTGAAATAAAGTAGTAAATACTTGTATAATCACACAGAATACAAGCAATTAGCTGTTCTACTATAATACATTATATGGCACCAAACACAAAGCTTGTTAGTTCATTTCTATTTTTAGAGATAGATAGATAGATAGATACTTTATTCATCCCCTAGGGGACATTCGGCATTATAAGTGAGCTGGTGATAATTGTGATAAAATATTAAAATATGATAGAAGGTTAGAACCATAATCAGTAAATAAATGGGCTAATAAATAACTAAAAGAACATAATGATAGTGATGATAATACAATAATAATAGAGGGACTTTTGATCATTTTCCTGATTAATGGATGAATTGTCAAACTACAGAATGTGTATTACACTTCCACAAAGCCCATTATTGTGTCATATTGTTGTCTTTTGTTTGACCAAAGCGCAGAAATTTAGATTTTGGCTGAATGAGGAAAACAATAAATATCCACATTTCCGAAGCTTCAACCAGAGAAATTTGCAATTTTCCCAAAAAACAGACAAAACTGATTAATCCTCTGTTCCTAATAATCAGGCTGCAGTGATGTTCGTTTATCGTCCGGCCCACGTTACACTGATGACGCTGGTCTACACACATTTTGGTGTCAAAGTTCTTTGAGCTGATTTTGGACAATTGCAATGAGCTGAATCCAAATATTACGTTGGTTTTGCTCAGTGAGTTCAACATTTAGATTTGTCGCCACATGCACGTCTATCTATGCTTGTATCATAGAGAAGTCTTTTTCTGTTTCCTGAAATGAACTAGTTCTGAATCCTTTACAAGTTGATAGTATAAATATTTGCAGGTGAATTAAATTTAGAAAGTTTACCCCCTGGTTTGTGAACAACACGTTAGAGTCACGTGATCGAGGTCAACATCTGAGTGAGCATAGTGATTTTAGTTGTAGTTTATTGTTGTTTTATCTAATATTGTTATATATTTAGTGTTCTTTGCCTCAATACATACATTGAAAACAAATGGCTTCAGCCAGAAGAGCTTGTAGGAATAAGTCTGATGTCTTCTGCTGCATCTGTGGCGAATACACTCTTGTTCCAAACAGATATTCGATCACCAACTTCATAAAACGTGCTTTTCCTGCTTATTTTGGCATGAAGCTAATCGCTAATGTCAAAAAATGTCATCGATATAGAATAGAATAGAACTTTATTGATCCATTTGGTGCAAACCTCAGGGAAACTGTTTATTGTAAATTTAGTGGATTTTCTTTAAATCAAGTTGGCATAAAACCCTGACCTGATACAGAAAAGCAGACGACATTTTTGGATTCAGAGTTGCAAAAATGTCCTAAATCAGTAAAAAAATCCTGGACACCTTCAAAAAAGTATTTTTTTGTAACCCAGTGTAATTAGGCTTCTTGTATTAACATCTATTAGAAACTGACTAGCGGCTCATAAAAGCATCATAGAGAGTTTTGTTTGGCTGTTAGATGCATTTTTAAGTGTCTGAGGAGCTGGTGTCGGTCCAGCAGACGGTGTCACGTATGGAAACGTGTGCAGAGCAACAAGCTTCCTGACGTCAGCAGGAGGACGGAGCTGCTTCCAGTCATACTCGCTTCCTCTTTAAAGCGAAGCCTTTAATGCCACCAACATGTCGTATGTGGCGTAACCATACCCCCCACTCGCACATACACGCACAACTCAATTGGGGCCTTTTCACCGAACAAAAGCAGAACACATCCGTTTGTGTGGGCAGAGTGTGCGAGAATAGGACGGATGGGAGAGGCTCTTTTGGTGGCTGCACCTGTCCCATTTCACGAGGCTCTAATAAGCAGATAACAGTGGCAGGATGGGAGAGAGAGAGACAGACTCCCCCCTTCGTCTTATTAGAGTAAAATTAATTAGATCCTCCTCTGAGGTCACGACTTTCCGTGAACCACCGTCTGAACCTTCCAGCACTGAGTCGCTGTTGTTGCATGTGTGAAATCTTGGATGCAAGTTTCTCCCCAAGTCTTGACCTTTTTTTTTTTCCAGCATCTTTTTTTTTTTCCCCCCTTCATGTATGAGAGGATGCTCTTCCAACCTCATGCCTCCTCGTCCTGCCGGCGGCTCCCGGGTCGGCTGCGTGTCGGCGAGCATCGGCGGCGGCGTCCACGCCTGCGCACTGCCAGAGAAAGTCCTCCTTTGCTATCCATGGTGTGGTGAGTAATTCAGCCATAATCCGCCTTTCTCCTCTCCCCTCTTCTTTCCCCTCTCCTCTCCCCCTCTCCTGCGGTTCCATTCATATTCTAATCACAGCTTTCCCTTCTCCAGCTCTCAGGCACTCCATCAGAGCCCTCCCAGCCTCGGGCTTTGCACTTTTACTTCCCCCCCTTTGTGACCGTTCCCTCTTCTCAGAGGCACACCAAAAATAAGGTTGCCACAGCGAGAGAGTGAACGAAAAGAACTGTGATTTAAAAAAAATGTAAAAAAAAAAAAAAAGAGAGAGAGAGAGAGAAAGTCGCACAGTTTTTACAGATTTCTGTCCGTCGCCTCTGCGGAGAAAGTTAAAGACGCTTTAACGTTGGAACGAACCAGCGCAAACGAGGCAACAAGTGTCTGTGGGATGTGAATAAAAGCAGGAGGAAAGGCCGGAGCGGCGGTTGTGCGGGGATGTATGTTTATTTGGAGCTTGGGGGTGTATAAAAACGTATTAAATGCCATAATGGAAGACGGGGAGGCCACAGTGTTAGGACTGCGTAGATCTAAGCCTCTCTCTTTTTTTTTTTTTTTTTTTTCGTTGGGAGGGAGCTTTTCTTATTCAAAACAGCCCCACAAAAGACTTCCAGTGAGCCTTGCCACATCCCCATCTGACTTGGGGCCATTCATCAGCCTTCCAAGCCTATCAATGACATGTCCCCATCAGGGCTCCTATAAAATCAGCCCCTTTCCCATGAAACATCAGCAAACATTTTGACGGGTCTGGCTTTCCCCCCGCTGGATTTCTGGAGTCTCTACCTCCCCCCCTTTTCCACCCTTATTCCCACCTCCCCACCACCACCACCACCACCACCTCCTCCTCCTCCTCCTCCTCCTCCTCCGCCAACACCACCCCTCTCCGGGCGAACCTCAGATCCTCAACATCTCCTGTGACGGGCAGTGGTCACGGAAACACAGAGCGAGACAAGGGGAGAGCCGCCGAGGAGGGGGAAACGTGCACTAAAGCCATTTTCTTGGAGGAGCCAGTGTCGTTGATGGGAAGAGGATGCATTGTGGGCTGCTGGAGGAGCCTGATATGGATTCCACAGGTCAGTCCTGCTAAAACTCTCGCTTGTCCGGATGTGTTGAGAAAATCTGTCGCTTCTTCTTCTTCTTCTGCTGCTGCACTTTTTTTCTGCGAGTCTCAAACTTTCTCTGCAGGAACTCGGGGCGGGGGGGACGACTGTCTGGACGCTCATCTGTTGCTTTTTAAATTTCTGCTCATGAAGGAGAGTTTTCGGTGACACACGGGAAGCGACGTTTTAATCTGATTAAAGAAAAAGAAAAAAAATAGGCCCTAAAATCTCTCAGAACTCGCCCCGGCCAAGTGGTTTCTCGCTATTTTGTCAGTGTTTTCGGTGAAAGTGTTGCGCTGGTCATTAGGAGGATAAAAACAACAAGTGCACCATCATGCTGCACCTGCTCTCTTCAACTTATTTGCTGAGGGACCAAACTGGAAATCTGAGCCATTTAATCATTGATTTTCTGGTTAAAAGAAACTTTAATAATTAATCTGATTAAATGATTGAAACTAATTGTGCGGTAATTAAAAGCGAGAGAAGAGGCTCCATCGGTGTTAAACGTGTCCACATTTAGGTTGTCATTTGGTGCACTTTGCAGTCGGGTGTAGTTTGAATGTGTGCTAAGAAATGAGCGAACATCCGTTTCACTTGTTGATCAAATTTAATCCAATTATTTAGATCCCCCAACGTATCTGTTCTGCTGGCAAATGAAGCTTGAGATCTGAGCCTCTGAGGAGAATTAGCTCCACTCGGGTGGATTCACTTTTTCATTTCCAGGATTTTTTCTTTCTTTCTTTTCTTTTTTTTTTTTAGCTAGAAGGAAGCAAATAGTGACAGTAAAGGCTGTCAGTGACACTCGTGGTGTTTAATTCAAATGTTGTTTTTATTTTAGAAAAAAAAAAAAAAGAACTAGAAACGTGTTATTAATGCTGATAAATATACAGTTAGAAGTGTCAAACTTTGAATTTAAAATATTTGTAGATAGAAAAACTTGTCTGTTTCATTGTTTGGAGGAGTTTTCTGTTTCTTTCTGCACCAAACTGCGTTTTCTGTCTGCAGAACATCGAATTTAGAGTTTAAACTTCTCAAACTTTGCAGCATCTCGATTCGATGCCCTCCGTGTGCTCCAACAAGTTGTCCTGCCAACAGTTTGTCCTAGCAACAGCTGCTCTGGTGAAACTGGGCAAAAAAAAAAAAAAGATTTATAAAGATAGAGGTCAAAGTAGCTGCTTGTCATTTTTATTTAATTCGCTGCACAAACTTGTTTCTGCTCATTTACATTTTCGGTGACATAATAGTTTTTATCCACCTGATTTAACAAAAAACTTTTTTATTTCTGTTTGTCAAATGAAATTCAGATAATGCACTCAATCACAACAATTAACTTTATACGAGTTCCTTCTCAACCATCGAATGCTGATTATCTTTCCTTGAATTTTAAACGGATTTCCACTCTATCGGGCTGCTTCCACATGAAAGCTTTGGTGTTTTGCTGCTGCTCGCTCACAGAAAGCACACCAGTCGAGCTATTTCTAAGTAGAAATTAAAACGGGACAATGGCCTCTATTCCACCAGACTGCTTCAGTAATGTGCACAGGCTCTTTTTAAGCAAGTGTGTATGGTCGTAGACTCCTGGGAACAATGCTGGATTCCTGCCGTCTCGGTGAAAACATCTCAAATAGAGCCATGGCTGCACCGCTGCCCCTACAATCGATTGTTGTCAGCTCGCCCTGTCACATTAGTGACATTTAAAGTGTCCTGTATAGGCAGTGATTTGCACTGTTTATGTAAATACGACTCTGGCTCTATTCTAATGCGCCACGACGTTAGGTTAGCTCAGAAAAAGAGCTTTGAAATGTTCACTTCAAGCGAAAATTTAGATAAAAAATAGAACAAAACAAGACTGAACTGATGTTTTAACCGAATTACAATTACTGTAAAATTAAAATATAGGTATTTAAAGAGGTGCCATAATTTCATCATGACTTAAAAGTATATTTGTTGGAGTTTTTGCTGTGAGGTGACATGTGGCCCTTCATGTCTTTTTTGTAGAGAGCTGGATTGAAAGATGCCTCAATGAAAGCGAGAGCAAGCGGTACTCCAGTCACACGTCTCTGGGGAACATGTCCAACGACGAACGTAAGCAGGACGAACGCCGTCACACTGAAACCACCAAAGAACCTCGTAAACTGTGTTGTGTTTTTTTTCCCCCAGACTTATGGTTTGTGTAGAAAGTGTCGTTTAACCGCAGAACAAGTGAGATTAAAAAGCGGATGTTTGTGTTTGTGCCACACTTCTGTCAATCCGTCCTGATAACTTCATCGAGCTGTGTTGTATGTTGCAGATGAAGAAAAAGAGAACAACAGAGCCTCTAAACCACATTCGACACCAGCTACTCTGGAATGGTAAGCTATTAACAACACATATTTACATTTTTTTCCCCCTTTTGTTTTATGTAAAAATAAATAAGAGAAAAGTAGAAACATGTAAAAGACACACAGCAGTTTATTTCATACATGTTTTAATATTTTACAAGGTTCTAAATGAATTAATACCTGAAGCTTTTATTCATCACGTGGAGCATAAACGCTAAATATCATGAGTCTATTTTATTCTCATATAATTAAAATGACACACATATCGCAGGGTTTTTTCCGTCTCTTAATCCTGCTGAGCAGTGATAACTTGTTGGTAAACCATATAGGATTTCCGACATCATTTCCAGTCATGTCAGATATCACATTTGCATTAATTTAAATAGTTTTACATGACATGACTCTATGAGCAGCGGTTTCTCTGCACGCTGGTTCCTCTCCTCCAATTCTTCTTTAATTTTTTTTTAAGCAAATTTTTTTTTTTTTCTCCTCCAAACCTTGGATCTGATAACGAGAATCTGATCAGATTAGATTTTATTTTATCCTGATGAGGAAATTAGCTGTAAAGTCGTCTCAACAGCTTCAACATGTTCAACATCCCAAATATGCCTCCAGTTTCTGAGCCTCCCTGTTGCACAGCCCCATGACTAATCACACTTAATAGCACATAAATGAATATTTATACTGAGTTTAACCTGCACTGCGAGGAGCCCAAATTAAGTGTGAGGGAACTGTCTTTGCAATTATGTGCCTTTTAAAGAGAAGCGTTATAGACATAAATATAACTGTAAATCTCTCCTCTAACAGCTGTAGTAATTTTCCCACTGAGCACATTGATGATCTGTTCCTGTTGAAGGCGATCATTTGGGCTCATGATGTTTTAACGCAAATTTTGTTTAAATTTTATTAGGATGTTGCCTTTAAAATAATCAGTTTTTACAAATGTAATGATGTATTTTTGATTGATTTAGTTGTTTTTATTCAGACAGAACGTATGGGTCACGTGACGATTTGCATCTGATTGTCAGAAAACGGACAAACTGAAACCTGTTATTCTGCTCAAAGCGTAAATACTGGCCGCAATTCTTTTATGAATTTAATTCAAAAGATAGTCCACAGACTCCAGAGTGAATGGAAACCTAAGTCAGGTCATAGAGGCTCAAGGAAACAATACGAGCATGGCTCAGAACAACAGCAGCATATTCCATGTAAATAAATAAGGTCACTAAAACACATTTACACACAACATGTGATGTAAATGGAGTGGGTACCAGCTCATTTATTCTGATAAAAACATAGGCTAGATAGATATTTTTAAATAAATAAAACATGTGTCGGGATGCAGTTGAGGTGTTGGCATGAATTAATGTGCAGTTTATTTACTCTGTAAGGATTTAAACTCCTTTTTAATCATCAGGTTCTGGTCGTTTAGAGAAATGATTATTTTTATTTATCATTGTTTTTAAATTAATAAAACTAATAGGGAGGCATTACTGCTATGAGAACAGATGATTTCTTACAGATTTGTGCTAAACATTTGAAAAACGTCAGTAAATGCACCAGTTTTAGAATTAAAATCCGGCTGCCATTCATGTCCATGAGTCTGACGCTTCTTCTTTGTTTGCCTGTTTATTTTTTTGAAAGCTGCTTTTTTTTATACGATTCAAAGATGAGCTTTTAGGGGCTTTTTGTATTGATTAATTCCAAATAAAACAAATCTCTCATAATATCAAAGCGTTCCACAAAAACTGCTTAAAATCATGAATTATTGATTCTGGTGTACCTCAAGGCTCAGTGTTGGATCCGCTCTTGTTTAGCGTTTTGCACTTTAGTTTGTACTTTTTAGACAATGTGATGGATCGTATATAAAGATACGAATATATTGTGATCTGTGTTTCTTAAAACTCTGAAGAACATTAAAATGTTTTAGTTGAGGAAGACGCTTTAAAGCTGCAGTGAGGGATTTCTTTGTTGAACCATTAGGGGGCAGAAGTGTTCTGAAATGCTAATAGTTTATTGTGAATTTATGGCTTTTTTATTTTATTTAATTTTTTTAGTAAAATTGCCTAAAAACCTACATATAAGCTGAGCAGACAGCAGATACATGCAACACTGACAGCTACAGACACCTGCGGATTGTGTTTTATTTGGCATTCAATTGAATATTTATGTTTATGGAGATTTAAGTAGTTTATACGTGTAAATACTTCAATTTAAATCATTGTGTAGGTGTATAGGCACCAAAAATGTCAACTGATCTTGTTAATTGGTGTAATTTAATTTATTTGTCACACGTTTTTTTCACAAGCGTACTTAAAAATACAACAGACGTTACAATAACACAACAACACACTACAGTGAAGTATATTAAAAAATGTTCAAATAAGCCACAGTTCTGTTTTTAATCAACATTTCGCTTTGAATTTATTAGACTTTATTCACCACAGCTGACACGAGGCCGCTTACGAACATCAGGAAGAATTAGGTTTTGGCCGCGACTGTTGCGCAACTCTTGGAGGAGCGATTGTTGTTGTTGTGTTGTTGTGAGATTCGGGTCGCCATGCTCAACCCATATTTCGTTGCAACCGAGTCACGGAACCTCTAATGCTGTGGAGACGTGTGGGACGGTTGGGCTGCATGCTGTTTGGTTCTAACTGTGCAGAGCTGCTTTGATATGTGTGTCCATAGCTGAGCTTTCATTTGCTTTTCTGTTCTGTTCTGTTTGGGTTTTATACGTCTTTTAGCCGTTGACGTATCCAGGAAGTTCAAAAATAGCCTTGATGGCGTCTGAAGAAGATAAACTTGTATTTTTACTCATTTTTGCAGTTCAATTCTGTAATTATAAGATAGTTGAATTCCTCTCACTTCTATTCGGATCGCTGATAGCTCCTGTTGTCGTCCTCAGGCTAGAAGAAAACTACGAGATAGCCGAAGGTGTGTGCATCCCCCGGAGTGCCCTCTACATGCATTACTTAGACTTCAGCGAAAAGCACGACACGCAGCCTGTGAACGCAGCCAGCTTTGGAAAGGTGAGATTCAAACCTGACTGGTGGTGAAACAATCTCCAACCGGTTTGATTTAGTTTTCTTTTTTTTTGATTAATGGATGTGTACGTTCAAAGCAATCAGAGCAAAGTGACAAAGCAATGTTGTGCGAAGGCGGTAATCTCATCCCCTCAATCGGCCATAAGCGTCGCTCTGACCATTTCATGCCTGGCTTGGCTTCGCGGCCGCCGCGTTGGCTGCTGGGTTGAAGTTATATCGACTGCAGCTCAGTGTGAAGCAAAAGCTCGGCGGTCGCTCGCTCGCTGAACACATAATCTAGAGCCAAAGGAGATGTGCTTTCGTCTGTTCCCACAACCCCAAGAAGTTCCTCAAGCCTTCCTACCCCCAGCCATCCCCATGTACCCTGGACTCCGGCCCCAACCCCCAACCCCGGCCCACCCGCCCCCCTCCTCCCTCCGCAGCTCCTGTCGGAAGATATTGAAAAAGAGAAGGGGCCTGGATTAATGTGTAATTAAAGGAAATTTGGAAGGGTGAGATGTTGCGGAATGTTAGATCAGTGGCTGGAGCAGTGTGGGGTGTCCTTTAGGAAGGCTTCATTGATTCAGGACAAAAAAACGAGAGAGGGCCCGGACTGCCTCCCTGTCTGCTCATTTATCAAGCGGGGCCTGACAGAAACTTCACAGCTTGGCCTCTTTTTTCATCCCACACAATGGAGAGCTACACTGTTTGCTAAAGTTTCTGCACCAGGAGCTGGACCAAGGAGCCAATCTCTTTTGGACAAAAAAAAAAAAAAAAAAGGAGAGGAAAAGAAGGAAGAAGGAGGGAGTGGAGATGAGAAAGAGAAGGAGTGAGGCTGGCTGGGTGGGTGGATAGATGAGGGGAGGCTGTTGATATAGAAAAAAAAAAAAAAAGTAATACCCCTGGATGTCATAAATGGATGGCTCTCAAAGCTTTTCTTTTTTTTCTTCTCCTGGTCGTGGACCTCCCTGTGGATACAACCGCGAGACAAACTTTATTAAACACTTTCTCACGTTGAAATGAAGACGCCGTACAGGAGCAGCGTCCTCTAATATGTTTACTATAAAAAGAGTTAAAAGTGAAATGAACCGTTTTCCAGCTATAGAGCAGCACAGAGTGAAGAAAACATGTCGTTGTTCTTTTTCTGTTTACTTTGATGAATTCCTGGTGTGATTTATATCAAATATAGTAAAGTATATGAACAATTTAACCCTTTTTCTGTACTTAAAACACACTGACGGCTTTTTTTTTTCCAGATCATTAGGCAGCAATTTCCAGCACTAACTACCAGAAGACTGGGGACAAGAGGGCAGTCGAAGTAAGTTGTCTTTATCACACATTAAACAAATAAAACCAGCTATTAGTAGCACAGAGATGTGGTTCAATTCACTTGTTTTTGAGGATTTTTATCCGATTCTCACAGCATCAGAGAGACGCATCTGAAATAATTAATTGAACTTCCCCCTCAGGTACCACTACTACGGCATCGCGGTGAAGGAGACCTCCCAGTATTATGACGTGATGTACTCCAAAAAGGGAGCTGCGTGGGTGAACGAGACGGGCAAGAAAGAGGTCACGAAGCAGACAGTGGCGTATTCACCGCGCTCCAAGCTGGGGACGCTCCTGCCAGAGTTTCCAAATGTCAAAGACCTAAATTTGCCTGCCAGCCTGCCAGAAGAGAGGGTAAACAGGAGTTTTAAAAGTCCATCCTTACAGCAACCCCCTCCCCTCTCCCTCCTCACCTCTCCCTGCCATCTCAACATCTCTGCGCCCCCTCTGGCTCTTTTATCTGCCCCGGGACCTTCACTGGGTTTGCGTTTAGAGAAGGACCTTGAGGATTTATATGCTGGCTCCTCACTAACTCTTAATCTTTTGGAGGGAGATAATAAGATCTAGCGACGGACAAAGGACAGGCACTAGCTGTCCGGCTCTTAAAAGGGGGGCCATGATTTTAAATGGTTTGTGTTTTTGCTGATCTCTAAAGCTCGCTTTATGTTCCTCCGCTCCAGGCTAGACCTGTAACATGTATTTATTGGTTCACATGCTTTGTTCAAGATTTATTTTCTTGTTTTTGCGGCGCTGTTTTTTCCCCCAAAACAGAGGGGAAAAAAAAAAGGCTATTAAGTTAGTGATGCAATTAGATTAATACTCTGTTGTCGCCCACAGGTGTCAACCTTCATCATGATGTACAGAACGCACTGTCAGAGGATACTGGACACGGTTATCCGAGCCAACTTTGACGAGGTTTTAAGCCTTTGCTCAGTTTGAATTGTAGTTAATTTGTGAAAATGTACAAAATATTCCTCTAAAATTGAACTGTGTGGTGTCTGCAGGTCCAAAGCTTCCTGCTGCACTTCTGGCAGGGCATGCCGCCCCACATGCTCCCTGTCCTCGGCTCGCCCACCGTGGTCAACATAGTGGGCGTCTGTGACTCCATCCTCTACAAGGCCATCTCCGGGGTGCTGATGCCCACCGTCCTGCAAGCACTGCCTGACAGGTCAGTGTGTGTCCTCACCGTCTTTTCTACATGCAGAGGAATTTAGGGACATTTTTATATTCAATTTTCATTTGTACATGTTTAAACCTGCATTATTTAGGCATCTTATCTTTCTGTCATCTGTAATGCCTTATGCACAGCTTACATACATATTTATTTCACTATATTATACTGCTATGTCAGCATCTTACAGCTCGTTGTCACGTCTGATGATCTGCATGCACATCAGTGAAGTTTACTCAAATTCCAACTGTTGTTTAGCTAAAAAAAATAAATGTACAACATTTAGGTAGCGGTCTGCATAGAGTTAGAAGAGTGCAGTGTACAAAAGAATTAAATTAAATTGGAGTAAAAACACCATCAAACCTGCTTTTAGCTTCTCAACTGTTGATGATGATGATACCAAACATTTTTTTGAGTGTGGAAGCTGTTTTGGTGCTTTGGGAAAAACAAAAAAAAATCTTCACTCAAGTTGCATTCACAGTGTTGTCAAATTTAAGGCCAAGGCCAGAATTCTTATTTGATGGGACGTCTGAGTGTCATTACAGCAAATCACAGCTTTAAATAGGGTGGAGTAATCCATTGCAGTCTAGTTAACACAAAGAAGCCTCTTGGATCAAGTTAAAATCATTTAAATAAAGACAAAGGTGCTCATTAGGTGACAAATCAAGTGACATTTACATGAATTGACATTTACCTTTAAAAAGCATGAAATAATCCATTTATACTAAAAGCACGATCAGCTACAGTTTGAGGTCTAAATATAAGATTATTAAACTTGGTTCAATCTGCAGTTTTCTGCTTTTATCAGGCAAACAATAAATTGGGTATTTAAGAAAATGTCATCAATGAGTCTATAATGAAGACGTAAAATTATTAGTTTATATCAAATGGAATCATGTTTAATGTGAAAACTGTGCTTCCTCCCACAGTCTGACTCAGGTTATTCGAAAATTTGCCAAACAGCTGGATGAGTGGCTTAAAATAGCACTTCACGACCTTCCAGAGAACCTGAGGAACATCAAGTTTGAATGTAAGTATAAGAATATATCATAAAAAGTTTCCAGTCGATCTGCAGGTTTTTAAGTGAACATATGTAGAATAATAAACCCATGGGCTCAAGTCATGCATCACACATGATGGTTTGCTTCCTAATAACATTACAGATATATGTTTTTTATTTTTAAAAGTGACACTCGCACTATTAACCGTGTGTTTTTCTCTTTTTTTTGTTCCCAGTATCGAGGAGATTTTCTCAGATTCTAAAGCGGCAAACGTCATTAAACCATCTATGTCAGGTGCCTATCGTGGTCTGAATGTTTTTAATAAAAATCCATATGAAAAAACAAAGGCGATAAGGGATATGCTAGGGCGCATCATATTGTTGATTTATCTGTGCGCAGGCATCGCGGACTGTGATAAACAGTGCCGACATCACCTTTCAAATGCTGGAGGACTGGAGGAATGTGGACTTGAACAGCATCACCAAGCAGACACTTTACACCATGGAGGACTCGCAGGAGGAGCACCGGCAGCTTATTATCCACTGTAAGTCCTCGCTGTTCAACCACACACATACTGCACTTCCACGTAAACAACACGCTGACGGACAATCATTCCCACGACCGGCAGAGTCAAAGCATTAATGACGGAGACCAAAAGGTTAAACAAGTTCACTCTCCTCTGAAACGCCCTGCGGAGCATCTCCAATTCACCGCGGGCCTCGCTGCCCCGAGTCCGCCCTGACAGGATCAGAGGTCGCAGACGCGTCGAAGCTGCCGCACGGAGATGCTGTTTGCATCCAAGATCTGTGTTATTTTTCAGTCGAGTGATGTAAAGTGACCTGATGTTCTCCCTCCTGTCTCAGTGTACCAGGAGTTCGACCGTCTCCTGGAGGAGCAGTCGCCCATCGAGGCTTACATCGAGTGGCTGGACTCCATGGTGGACCGCTGCGTTGTCAAGGTCAGATTTTCCATTTGTTTAGGGGAATGGTCTGACTCATCACATTTGTCCATAAATGCACAGATAAAAGTATTTCGTTGCATCGTTACATCTGATGCTGAGACGGCCGCCTCCCTGCACAGACACCTGTGGCTGCTGCAGCCTCTCGTGTCTTTCTCAGACGGAGGCACTTACGTTGCAATCCTCCCAGTTAATGATGTCTTCAAGCTTCCCATTTGCGTCCATTATGTGCCAGATATGGGCTTGTAAAATTTGGTCGCCCCGGCAACGTCTTGGACCGCCCGGACAATAGTTCAATAGGAAGGCGTGTCCCTGGGGGCAAATTAAATAGTTGACTTGTTGACATGTTTTTCGTCCCTGAGGGTTAAGCCCCAATACGGACCCAGGGGTTAATTCTACCGCAGCATCCCCACCCTTCCCCCTCTTTTCTCATGGAAATGTTCTCTCTAGGTGGCAGGGAAGAGGCCCGGGTGCCTGAAGAAGGTGGCCCAACAGTTCCTGCTGATGTGGTCATGTTTTGGTACCAGAGTCATCCGGGATATGACCCTCCACAGCGCGCCCAGCTTCGGTGAGCTGCTTTGTCATCATTTCTTTAGAAAATACACGACTCTGACAGCCTGGTTGGTACATTTAGGACGGTTAGTTATGGTGTTTATTGTGTCATGCACATAACGAGTTTGTGAATGCTCCACTGTGACACAATGCAGTGATGCTAAATGTTTAAAACTTTTCTCGTCCTAACCATGTTGCGTTCAGGTCCACACTCCTGTGCTGCAAAATGTGCAGAGAGGACGAACAAGTAAAATGGCTGCTGCTGCTTTAACAGCTTTCCGTGCACAACCAAGGTTCGCAGCAAGCGAAGAGCAGTAAAAACGGGAGAAAAGAAAATGGCTTCTCTTTCCTCTCCTGGTGTCCTTTGGCCCTGTCTGTGAATATCAAAGACACAGCTGGTTGCAGTGTTTTGATAAAGCAGGTCTCTGTGCACAAACAGCTAATTAACAAAAGCCGCCCCTCCCCTCCTGCCGACGCGTTTGCCTGTCTTTTCCATTTTATGACCGGTCAGTATTACACCCCGCTTACCCCCCCGCCCCCCACCACCACCCCTCCTCCTGAATAGCCACAAGTGTTTATTATGCACACGGCGGCGGCAGCGACCCGCACAATGACACAATTGTGACACTCCCTCACATGCCACGGGCTCATCTTCCGTGCGACCCCGGGGTCAGCTGACATATTTCTGGCGCTGAGTCGGTACATGGAAACACTTCTTTTTTTTAATAGCAGCGGCCCTCCTGTCAGCCCGCAGGATGTGAAGTCACCACATGTTTTTTTGGTCTTAAAGGGCATCGGCGTTTGCATCACGGGTCGGCGTCTGGCCGCTTCATTCTGGATGCTTTCTGCCGCTAATAACACTCGTTGGTTGGTGTGTCCGCAGGATCCTTCCACCTGATCCACCTCATGTTCGATGATTACGTGCTCTACCTGCTGGAGTCGCTGCACTGCCAGGAGAGAGCCAACGACCTCATGAGGGCCATGAAGGGAGAAGGCAGCACAGGTACCTGCAGGTCCACCTACTAGCTGACTGTAGCTCACAAGCGAAGCTGATTGGTCGAGAAATTATGTCGCCTCATAATATGATGGTGTGAAATTTCTGGAACTGAAATTTATTCACAGTATTCAGTCAGAAAAATTAGTCCAAGTTAGTATCCCAAAGATGCTCTAATCTGAGCTCATCAGATGTTTCTGGTTTTCTTTGTGTTATGTGATAATAAATGGATGAGATTTAGACTTTTGAGTGAATTGAGGACGTAAATTTTGGCTTCAGCAAGTGATGATGTACATTTTTTCGACCAAATGTGACTTGATTCATTAAGAAATAAGCAGCAGATTAATCAGTAAATAAAATAATAGTTTAAATGCAATACAAAGAATAAAAACGTATTTACTTTGTAGCTTGAAATATCTAATTATTGGGGTGTTTGGGGGCCTTAATGCAGCACTCACAGGCCAGAAAAGCTGCAGGAAAACCCTGCTCTTTTTTGTGTAGTGCTCAAAGGAGGTAGTTTGCTGATATAAGCCCAAGATTTTATTATTCCAGCTGAAATCACAGTAAATTATACGTATATTCAGTTTACAGAAAACCTGCAGTAGCTCATAGATTGACTGGAAACTTTAGTTGCTTTGGGATATTTTAAAATCAGTCCTGCTTTTTATCGTGATGTTCATATTTGTACCTCTTAGTTGTGTTGTACTTGTGCACATTCAGGTGCAACACATCTGCCCAACATCTCTCTTGTGCTTCTAATAATCTGTCGTCTCGTCACACCTTCAGCAGAGAGAGAGGAGGAGTTCACGCTGACAGAAACCACTCCCACCTCCCCGTCTCCGGGATCCTACTCTCCCGCCCGCTCCGTCCACTCCGTGGGCGTCTCCTCGGCCAGCTCCCCCACGGCAGCCGTGTCCCCCGAGTACACCGGAGTCACCACCACCACAGGTGAGGCGGGACTCGCACACACAGAGTGTAAACGCTTTTCAGCGCACATAGTTCCCGCTGCGCCAACACATTTGTCTCTGTCTGTCATATATGTGTCTACCAGGCGCTGTTCAGTCATATACCTGGTCCCTTACATACACAGTGACAACAGCAGGCGGCTCCACTCCAGAGGCCGGTCAGCAGCTGTCCTGCATGAGAAGCAGCGCTCCAGTCCCTCCTCCGTCTTCAGCCCACAGGATGCCGGTGTACACCCACAGGGAGGAGCACGGGTAACTATCAGCTTTCAAGATTCAAATCATTTAAATTGGAGGACATTTTTATTAAATTAATTTTGACTTCTTGCCTCCGTTCCAGGTACACTGGCAGCTACAACTACGGCAGTTACGCCAACCAGCATCCCCACTCCATCCAGAGCCAGTACCCGAGTCTGGCCCACGAGCCGGCGATCCCGGCCCCCCTTCACTACTCCGCCTACCACCGCTCGTCTGCACAGGTCAGACCCTGATGATGATTCAGTAGACTTCTAACAGAAAGGACATTAGAGTTTGAGTCCCAAATAAACTTTTTAATGTAAAGTAGTAACAATTATTATGGAAATCAATGAACTAAAACTCTTTATTATGTATTATATGGTGTATAAATGCTGCTATATTCAGATTAGTGACTGGTTTTGTGCACTATTCTGTGATAATGAGAAAATAACTAATAAAATACTTGGTAAGACATTTATTAGCTTGCCAACATGATAGATTTTGGTATTTTTCCAACCTAGAACACTCACAGACTTGCTTAACCTACAAATAAAACTGTAGCAGAACGGATCGAGAGGAAGAAAAAGCTCCTGGAATTTTTAACTAAAGTAAAAATACAACAAATGAAAAATACTCACATATACATGTCTACTAATAGTCCACCAAACATCCACAGCATCTGACACTGAATTGATCTCTGCAAAATGAACTTAAACGTTCAAAATTAAAAGTAGTCGATTTGCAGAATCTCTAGTTTGAGATTTTTATTGTAATATATGTTGTATTACTAGTATATTGTGGCGCGCACACACACATTAGTGTATGAGCTACAGTTTAATGTCGTGGGTGATTGACATAAATCAAATGTTAATTACTTTGCTTATCATTTATTCTTAAAGAAACAAAATGTGGATAAATTTCTAATTTGGAAAGTAACAAGTAAATATAGACGTTAAAGTCCACAAAAAAAGAGAAATGTTGTGGAGAAGAAGTATGAAGTAGCATAAAATGTTATATGCAATTATAATAATAAACTTTGTTTGTGTAGCACTTTATAAGAACAGAATTCGCAAAATGCGTTTACATAATAAAGAAACACAACACAGAGACAAGGTGACAGGAAAACAACAGGTCTGAAAAGTGCAGGCAAACACTTAAAAAATATAAAAATACACACAATAAAAATGGAAAAGAACAGACTGGGTCACTGTTGGAAGGTGTCCTACTAAAACTGGTTAAAAAGACGACATCACAGAGGGGAATGAAGATAAAAGCTGAAGTTAAAAGTAGATTAAGAACGCGAAAAGAGAGAAAGACAGCAGGTAGTACCAATAAAAAAAAAAGGGAAAAGAAATGAGTGAAAATCTAAAAGAGAAATAAAACAGAACATCACTGGAAAGCTCGTCTATAAAAGTGGATTTTATTTACATGAATACAGCCGGTTACAGTGAAAGCTTCTTTATCCATCTTAGACGGATGAAACTCACAAAACATAAACATGCATGGATAGAATAATAATAAAACAATCATGTGAATGATGCTTAAACTGTATACAGAGCTGCAGGCATCAACACTGCTCTAGATATTTACACTGTAAGAGCTGGAGAAGGCATCAAATGTGGATAAATATGTCCAGAAATATATAAATATGTAGAACACAGTATGTACACAGATCTGTTGATGCTAATATAACGTATGTGGGACAAATAGAAGCTCTTTATGCTCCATTTCACACAACAGCAGCAGCAGAACAGGTGAATGTGATCAGTCCGGCCTCTCAGCGTCTGAACTGTCCTTTCAAGAGAATAAATAGAAGATTTAAATGTGAGAAAAACAAGGTTATTATTAGGATGAGATGGAGTCGCCGATGTTGCAGCGAGTGGTGTGAGTTTACTCTTTTGGTGGTAATTTCCTGTCAAGGGTCCTCCAGCCTCCGCTGCCTTTATAGTGGGAGGAGATCAGCTGGGCCTCAGCGCTCGCACTGTTTCTAAAAGTCCCTGAATCAGCCTCTCCACACAGCGGAAGCAGACAGTGAAAGGTGGCTCGGCCGGGGCCAAGAGGGGCCCTGCTCTGTTACTCCTCTTTCCAGCTCTCAATAGTCTCTTCATCTGTTCGAGCCAGTGGCCACGGAGCAGGGCAAGGGGGCGTTTATTAAAATATTGTTATTCAATGGTCTCTTTTCTGCTTGTGAACAAGAGGCAGCTGAGCCGTCTGTTCTGCACTGACTGTCTTTTTCCATGCCGTGATCCCTCATAATGGGATCGACTGTCGTGTTTATATTTAGGGAGAAAAGGGAAAAGGGTCCTACTTCCACTTTTTTTTTTTTTTTTTTTTAGCCCCGTCTGAGCTCAAATGGGGCACAATGCCTGCACTTTGTCCGTGTGAGAGGTCGGACACGGAGCCGAAACCAACAGAAAACTTTGTCGGATCCCCATCTGTCCGAAATATTTCTGTCAACGGGCACATTTAGTCGGCGGCGTTTGTGGTCAGTCACCACAGGCAACAAAAATAACACAGGAAAACCACTTCTTTTATGAAAACCCTCATTTTCTTAAGTGGCTTAATTTTCTATTTTGACCACTGTGGCACAACTTGTGAAGCAATTTCCTCTGACAGGAAATTACCACCGGCAGGGTCAGTTCACACCAAAAGCTACATGCTTAATGCGGCATTAAATATGAAATCAGCAGCTGCCTTCGAGGACGCCGAGGTCACGTCCTCAGCGAAAGGAGAATCCGAGGGTTTGTATCGAGCTTACTGTTTATTCCTGGCAGCGTTCGAACCTTTATTAAAGGCATAATTTGACTAATTTGCTGTCAGGCGGGGAGTTAAATGAGCCGTTAAACACCACTCTCACATGTATTGGCTTCGTTTGAGGTTACAGCCAGCAGCTGGTGACCTTAGCTCAGCATTAAGACTGTAAACAAGGAGAAACAGATAGTCTGGGTCTGGAACAGTTAACAAGAAAAACACCAAATAGTATCACTGAAACACACAGATCAACAAGCTGCTTGGTAATAATAAAAGGCTGTATTTTACAGGAGGTCGTGCGTCACATGGTTTTATTAGTAATTGATTAATTAGGAAGGAAGACAATTAATAAGAATATTGCTCTCTCTTTTCCTTTAAATGAATTAAAATGTACCTGTGTGATTACAGATGAAAATATTCTTACAATGTTTTATTTTTTGAGGGGGTCGGTTACGAGGTGCGTTCAGGAACTTCAAGTCAAAATCAAAAACGTGACTAAATTCTTGAATCTAAAAAAAAAGTATGATAACGAGCGATTAGAAACGGTTTAAGTCAAGAATTCTTTCAACAAAAAAAAAAGGATTTGAATTCTTGTTAATGCTTCAAACTCTTTAGTTAAACATCTTTTAGTTCATTAACAAGAACATTTAATTCAACAATCTGCAGATTATCTTCAGCTCTGAATCGTTCACTGTTTATCTTCATACACTGTCAGGGGCTCCTCACATCCTCTCCATAAACTGAACTGCTGCCATCAGGCAAACGTTTCCGGAGCGTTAAAGGAAGAACCCCCAGAATGATCACCAGCTTCATTCCACCAGCTGTCAGAATGCTGAGCTGCTGATCCAGACATGCAAACACTTCTTTATCTAATTGCTTTTAGTTGTTGGATGCTGAAGAAACGCTCCCTCATCTTGTTTGTACTGCTGTTGTGTGTCCAGCAAAAATGACAATAAACTGGATTTGATTTGTTGTTAAGCTTAAGATAAGATAAGATAAGATAAGATAAGATAATGCCTTTATTTATCTCGCAGTGGAGAAATTCACATTGTTGTCAGCAGCTTTACACAAAGAGATACACACATACTATACAGAAAAATGTACATATAAATATAAATATAAGAAATAGTGCAACAAGTATAAAAGTACACATAAAAGGAGAATAGTGCAGATGGAATGTGAGAATGAAGCTTCTCTCAGACTTCACTGCATCGCTGTAACTCCTCTCCTCCGTTCCTCCTCCTCAGTACCAACTCAACGGCCAGATGTCTCGAATGGAGCCTTGTTTGATGGGCAGCACTCCCCGGTTGCACCCCACACCTGTCGCCCCCCGGTGGCCAGATGTGTCCCCTGCTAACAGCTGTTACACCAGCCCACCTATGCATTCATCCCGCTATGCCACTTCTGGGGACATGTACTCCCCCCTGGGCCCTCGCAGGAACTCAGAGTACGAACACTCGCAGCATTTTCCCGGCTTCGCCTACATCAACGGAGAGGCCACCACTGGCTGGGCCAAATAGCCTTCAAACGTTGCTCTGGATGTCCGTGTACGAGCTCCAGGCCGCCAGACCGCTGGACGCAAAGCCTCTGAACTCTTCCAATCAAGTGCATCAAACAACGAGGAGCAGAGAGTAAAACGGTAACGATGTGAGGCGAATAGGAATCACGGTATGGACGAACTGACAATTTGAAAAGACTCAATCAGGCTGATGGTTGTGGTGTCATTTGTGCGGAGGTTTGTTCAGATTTCTCCAGTGGAAGTATTAAATCATATAGATTGTCAAAACTTGCAGCAAAATCATTTGAAGAGTGCAATGCTGCTGCCAAGCTGTGCCTTTGTTTTAAGGAATGTACACCTCTGCCAGAGTTTCCCTCGTCAGTCCCGCCAGTCAGCGCCACACATCCTCCCTCCGGCGGCCCGTCAGCCTGTTTCTGACTCCGGTACAATCTCAGTGACGCTGTGCAGCATCGTGTCGCGAGCTCTCTTTGCTGCAAAGGGGAACTGTTCTGCCTTAACCTTCTCCGGGGACACCAGTTGCATTCAGTGGCACGAAGCCAAAACATCACAGGTGACAGACGTAAAGCCCACGATCAGACCTCGATCAGCGTGTCGAGGCGTGTCCATCTCGGTTAGTCCTTTTTTTTAATGATTGAATGCTGTGACTCAAAAACAAACAAGTGTATTCTGTTTTTTCTGTGACTATATATACATATATAAATATATATATATAGTATGTATTTTCTGTAACTTTGTAACATGGTGTATCCTTTATTTTCTATGTTACAACTTGTTCTCTGTTTTGTATGGTTAGTAACGGACGCATTAACCTAGGGTTGTGTGTTTTATAATGCACTCAAAGCTACTGAGGACCTATTACCCTATGGGTATTTATAAAAAGGGAAAAATATCAAAGTGTACAGTAACATGAAGTCTAGTCACTTTTCTGTAAATAAAAGCACTGGAAACCATCCGTGGTGACTGTTAAACTATCACAGTTGAAGCTGATGTGTGTGTGTGTGGGGAAATATGCTGCCACATAAATAATTTCACAATTTCAAACAGCGAGTCATTCTTGTTTATTTTGTCTGCGAAGAAGAAACACACAAAATGATGCACGAAATGCCAAATATCGTATTTATTTTATCATTATAGTTTCGGCACTGGGCACAGCTCCACACTCTCTGTACTCAGCTGGTTCTGATATTAATCATATTTTTAGCTAATTGTTTTAGTGCACAGTTAATTAATTTCCCAACTATATTGACTTTATAGCTGCTAAACTGTGTTGTTTTCTGAAATTCCCTCATTCCACTTCAATTATCCCTCAAATTATTTTTTTTTAACTTTCTTTTTTATTATATTTTTATTTTAAATCCATCCATTATACGATCGCCATCAATATGCATCAAGCAATCCATGAAAGTGAAATAAACAACAACATATAAACAAAGATCACAAATACCCCAGCCTATTAATACGTCAGTTACATTCTTCTATCACTTACAAGTGCTTCAGCTTGTTTTGTATATCTCAACCATTTCTCCCAGCCTTTTACAAAGTCTTCTTCTTTCAGTTTCAGTTTAAAGGAAAGCTTCTCCATCTCAAGGATGTTTTCTATAATCGACAACCACTGTTTATGATTTGGTGCCTCGGCTTTTAGACAGTTCTTAGTGATGGTTTTTTTTGCCGCCGCAATAAGAATCTTGACCAGGTATCGATAACCAACATGTACAGAATCAATTATCCCTCAAATTTTCATTTCACGTGCTGCTGTTGAAAAAGCGGAGACGTTTTCTGAGCTGATTTTTTTCCTCTTCTCTGTCCGGGAACCCGACTGACAGCACCGTGGGGGGTTGGGCCAGCAGCAGAAGGGCCACACTGCAGAAAGAATTACATTTCTATGGTGAGAATGTCCCGCTGTGCTGGGGTCACTGCACCTCAGTCCCGTGACCTCTGACCTCTGACCCCGGCCGAGGTTTGTATTTATTAGGATGTAGATCTTCTGTGTTACATCTCCGAAAATCCTGCAGGATTCGCGACACGGACTTTGAAAGCAGAAAACTTGTTTTAAAAAAAAAAAAATGCCCGCCCTTCATTGTGATTTAATCACCCGACCTGAGTGTCAATATCAATATCCGCTGGAGATTTCAGAAGGAGATCGAGGAGCCGGGCGGCTGTGAGAGACGTGCTGCCACGCCAGAAGGTTTCATCTGTGATATCAGCAAAACATCACTTATACGGTGGTTAGAACAAGTACGTCTCTTTTTGTTTTAGTTACATAGAAAGGAAGTGCTTTACAACAACACATTCTATAATCATGTCTTTGCATTAAACTGAAAACTCTCGAGATGCATCTGAAAATGTGAGATTGCTGTTACACACAGAAATGGAAATAAAACAGCGTTAATAATTTTAATTCACCGTGTTCGTGCACATTAGTGTAAAACTGGTATAAAAGCACTACATTACTCATAGAAATTCACATGCATGCGCCTGCAGCCAGCAGGTCTCTGGAGTCCACTTTGGACTGATAAAGGAAGACTTCAGAGAGAAAATGTTCAGATTCTTCACATAACACCTGAGCTTTAATCCTTGGAGGCTGTTTTTGTATCTTTATCACATATAATGATGCAAAAAGTGGCGCTGATTCACGTGACGGACGTTTACTTTCTCTGCAGAATTTATACAAACAAAAAAAAACGACCCATAGCATCTGAAAGCTCATTCTCCTGTAGAGCTGCAGAAACCTCCACGTTTTACATCCACAAAACGAGACATTTAAGATTGAATTAAAGGATCTCAGCCCTGCTTAAGCATTTCCTTGTTATGCATCACAGATCTAACGACAACAATCTTCTTCTTTAGATCCGAATCAGAATCCTTTGATGTCATTATACCAAAACAAGTACAATGGACGTGGGTGTAATCCCATTCAGTGCAAAGAACAGCTATAAATTAACAAACTGTGCAAGATAAAAACAAGACACTTGTAGAGCCTGTAGATGCATATAAAAAAAAACTAATAAATAGGTGGCAATAGGTATAAAATGGATATAAAACTGTGAGTATTTACTATAGCAGTGAGGAACGGAGGCACCTGAGAAATGCTTGTGGTAGATTCCACCTGAGTACATGTGATGTGTTGCAAACTGAGAGAATACTTGTCTGGATTCACAGGAACGGTGGTGGGAGTAGAATAGACGCACGTTCCTCAGTCAAACATGCACAAAGCAAAGTTAATATTAAGTCAGTTTAGAAGTATTACTTAAATACATTATATTCTGTGTTAAACAAACGCAAGCAGCTAAGTTTGCTTATTTGTCACTGAAGACTGTAGCTCAGGTCTGGCTCACAATAAGTTACAGATGGCAGCTTCAATATATGAGGACATTTTGACACCAGAAATAACCTGCAGCCCAAACCGCTGACTTTATAATCGTCTGCTTTAGTTTCTGAAACTCGTATCCTGAAGCTTTTCTATTTTTTTTTTACTATAAATGTTTTAAAAGGCCGCCGTGTGTGCAAGTTTACATACGTATCTGCATTTTAACTCACGCTTCCATTGTTTAGATCTTTTAACATCAAAGCCACTAAATGTCAGGGCTGCAGCTAAGGATTCATTTCACTGGTGATTAATCAGTTGATTATTTTCTCAATTAATTAATTAGTTGCTTGATAAATAAAACTGTGAAAAATGTCCATCAGTGTCTCTCAAAGGCTGAAATGAATGTGTCAGTTTGTCCACAACATAAATATCTTCAGTTTACTACCATAAAGAAGTAAAGATGGGAAATATTAACATTGAAATAGCTTGAATCAGATAATTAAATTTTTTAATTTTTTGGTGTACTCAGCTGTGTGCAAAGCAAACTGAATATTAAACTAAAATCAGGAAGAGCAAGAAAAATGTGATTTTCTGAGTTAAACAAGTGCCAGCAGTCAAGTCTGACTTACAGGAACAAATAAATAGTAAATAAATAGTAATAAATGAATAATAATCATCACTGACTTTATCATTGACTGCTTCATTTTCTGAAAATGTTTTAAATATCAAACTAACATGCTGATTTTCCACATTTTTTTAATCCTGAATGGCCGACATGTGTTTATCTTATTGTTTTAGTGCTGCTACTAAAGATTCTTTTCATTGTCAATTAATCTGTTGATTAATTTTCTTGATTAACTGCTTAATATAGATTAACAAAAGAAAATATTCACACTTAAGTAGCTGAATCAGAGAATTTACAGTTTCATTGGTGTGCAAAACTGTACACAGCAAAGTAAATATAAATTAAATTAAAAATGGCCCGACATGCTCGCCGTTTT